CTTTCCTCTTCCCCTGCCCTTTCATCTAACCCTCAACCACTACATCCTAATGGACAACATGGACACATTGGCCCTTCCTCCGACCCTCAAGAACATATTAGGGGACGGCTTGGAGACATGCGAACTGAATCTACTTCAGTTCCATCTCCTTCAGTTCCATCGCCTTCGGTTCCACCTTCTTCTTCAGTGCAACACTCGAATAATGAAGAAGATAGCCGATTCATGATATGCTCATGTGGAGATTCGTAAGTACTTCATTTTTTTAAGTATATGTAAATTATTATGGATGTCAACTGAATTGTCCATGTTGCAAATTATCCGTATGCTTCATTGTCCATATCGTTATAACATGTTTATAGATTCACGGATGTTACGTATGTTGTGAGGAAACTTAATAAAATAGTCAATAACTGTTGGATGGGGCAATATATTAGTTGGAGCACCGCTCCAAAAGAAGTAAAGGACTTGTGGTGGAATGAGTTCAAGGTAAGTTTTGTTTTTCTATTTTCTCACAAACTAAGTTTGGTGTAGCATACTGATGGTGCATGGTAATGGATATGTGACCCTCGTAATAAGTGTACAGTTGTTTTTCTGTTGATTGCAGCGAAAGTTCAGGTCGGATGAAGTGGAAGAGAAAGAAGTTAGAAGAATTTTTAAGAAGAAAGCTGGTGATCACATGCGAAATGTGATGAATAGAGCAAAGAGAAGTAAAGAAAAGCCGGATTTTATTACAGCTGATAATTGGACGGAAGTTAAGAGAACTTGGGACACCGAAAAGCATAAGCAAATCAGGGAACAAAATAAGAAGAATCGAGCTTCTAGTTCTAGTGAAGGGTCTGCCACATATGCTAGGGGCTCTATCAACATCGGGCAGCATAGAAAAAGAATGGTAAGTCTGTTAAATATGTTGTAAGTTAATTTAATTCAATGATTACTCACTTATGTTTATATTTTGTAGGCAGATGAATTGGGGACGGAACCGACATTTATAGCTACATTTGAACGCACATTTCAGAAAAAAAATAAGACATGGACTGGCGATAGAGCAAAAGCTATTAAGGTATGTAAAGTTATACTTTGGACTTTTTGGAAACTAGAATGAAAACCATGAATGCTTTTAATATATATGGTAGTTATATATATGAAGTTATTTTATTTTCATCTATATTGTTAATCTGGGAAAAATATGATGAACTTATAATGAGCACTGCTGCTAGTGGTGGTGGTGGTGGTATTGCTGCGTCCGAGCCATCAGTTGACAATATGGCATTACGGGTGGAGGCATCGGGTGGAATGAGAAGAGGACAAATATTTGGGATGGGATCCTTGTCAAGGATATAAACAACGCAAGCTGCTGCAATTTCATCCTCCAATGCGGCTGTTTCAAGGAGGACACGACATGAGGAGCAAATGACCCAAGAATTGAGCCAACTGAAACATTTACTTGTACAGAAGGACGAAGAAATAAGAGGAATGAAACAACAAATGCAATTGATCTTGCGACATCTCAACCTCGATCACGATGAGGCTCCTCCTGTACCTCCCACTAATCCAGTAGGTGATGGGCACAATGATGAGCGACACAATGATGATGAGATTGCTGATGATGATTTTGTCAGTCCTTGCTAGTTAAAATTTCCAAACTCGAGGGTAAGCTTGCTTCAGCATTATCTATTTATAGGATAAGTTATTAGTTGTTGCATTTGTTCAATGCATATGTATCGATTCTGTTAAAAGTTCAACAACTGTTCATGTTGAGATTTTGCACATGTACACGAGAGATAATGGACTAATTAAGCTGATGCTCAGCTATCTCTCTCCCTAGTTCACGCACGCACGTGCATTCTAGGAACAGAGTTGCTGGGATCTAAATTACTTGGCGCTGATTCTTTGAAGAATCTTTGGAATCATCAGGATGCCATGTTGTGTTGTTCATTGAAGGTATCAAATATCTGTTATTTGTATTACTCGAAATTGTTAAAAGTGAATTTTGCCATGTAATTAGAAATGATTAATGACGGTCTTCCTTTTGGTTTGGCAGTCTATTCCAGTTTTCGTCTTTGCAAACTAGGCAGGACTTGACATGTTAGAGACCACTTTGGTGGCTCTACAAGATATCACTTTGGATAAGATATTTGACGAGTCAGTCCGCAAAGAATTGTGCCCTGGGTTCACTAAGTTAATGCAAGAGGTACTTCTATCATTCTTTATGCTACATGACGATAAGCGTTCGGTTTGCATACATGCCCTCTGGAATTTGCATGTCGACGATGGGGCGACATGTCTCATATGAACAAGCGATCGCTTGGAAGATCCTTTATGCGGAGGAGAACACCGTCCATTGCCTCGCTTTCTCTTTCGTGAATTGGTCTTTTGTGTGAGCATAGCCTAATATATTCTTTTTTGAACACCCCTCTTTCTGCTATTGAATAGATGTGAAAAAATTAAGAGGGATTAGGAGTTTGATATTGTGATGTCTTCTGTTTGCTCTGCAGATGGACAGGACATCGATTCTTGGAGACACTATAGACTATGTGAAAGAACTTCTTGGCAAGATCAACAGTTTGCAACAAGAGAGCGAACTGGATTTGAAGCAGTTGAATGTGTTGGATCCTCTCAAGGATTTTTCATTTAGTGCTTTGTTCCATTTCTTTCTTTTTTGTGTTTGTTTTTGTCTTGACTGTGATTTTATCAATGTTAAATATAAATTCTATAATTGCTGTTAATTAGATTTAAAATCGAAATCATCCCTAAACAACATTCGTCGCAGACTTCGTCGCTAAATAATTCATAAAAATTCGTCGCTAAATTCGTTTCGGAACAATGTTCGTGGCAAAAGTCAAAATTTTTCGTGGCAAATTAGTGACGAATTTTGCCATGAAATGTGTTTGTGGCAAATTAGCGATAAATTTTGCCACGAATAATTAGCAACGAATTTTGCCACGAATAGATTTCGTCGCAATTTCGTAACCAACAAAAAAAAAATTTCGAAAAAAAATAGCGACGAATTTTGCCACGAATACAGTTGGTGGCAAATTAGCGACGAATTTTACCACGAATATTTAGCGACGAATTTTGCCACGAAAACAATTCGTGGCAAACTAGCGACGAATTTTGCCACGATTAATTAGCGACGAATTTTGTCACAAATATTTAGCGATGAATTTTGTGACAAATAAAGTTCGTGGCAAGTTAGCAACGAATTTTGCCACGAATAATTAGCAACAAATTTTGCGACGAATACAGTTTGTGGCAAATTAGCCACGAATTTTGCCACGAAGAATTAGCGACGAATTTTTTTTCGTCTCAATTTAGCGACGAAATTTGAAATTTTCCGTCGCAAAATTTTGCGACGGCCTATTAGCGACAAATTTTTTTCCGTCGCTAATTTCGTCGCAAATTCGTTTAGCGACAAATTTTGCCAAATTTTTCGTGGCAAAATTCGTCGCTAAAACCAACTTTTTTTGTAGTGTTGTTTAGTTGATTCTTTCGGACCTAGGGCGTGAGAGCCGCCATTTGCGCTCCTAGGGCGTCCCTTATTGGTTATAATAGCTCTTATGTTGTTTGATTTAGATAATCATTGGCTTGGTGCTGGAATGGGCCTAATGGCAAAGGAATGAGGATAAAATATTCAAAATGCACTCACTTATAAAAAATGCTAATACTTTTAATTGATGCTACTCGTTCTACAATGGACAATATGTAAGTAATTACGTCATTATATAGTTCATAATGTATTACTCATATATAAACAAATAATAGAATGGGTTAATACCACGAAAAATTCCAAACTGGTACATCTGTGACAAATTTACTTCAAACTAATTTTTTGACCGCAAAAAGCCCCAAACCTGTATATTTGTGCCAAATTTACCCTCCGTTAAATTGGATTAATACCATAAAAATCATAAATTGGTAAATATGTGACAAACAGAGGGGTAAAATCCTCAACCAGTATACCCGTCAACTGCCATGTATCATCCAACTTAGCAATTTGACGGTAAAATTTAACAGAAACTGACAGAGGGTAAATTTTTCACGGGTATATCAGTTTGGGGTTTTTAGTGATCAAAAAATTAGTTTATGGTAAATTTGTTACGGGTGTACTAATTTAGTGTTTTTTGTGGTATTAACCCTGATAGAATAATAGTGTAGGTAGTATCATTATTAGATGTCAATAATCAAAAATTTTTGAAACTATATATAGACACACACACACTTAGAGTAATGTTAACTATTAAAGCATGCACAATTTTGTACGAAATGATGATGCTTTACTTCATATTGAGTGCTTCCAATATTTAATATTTGAATTATCGGACGTCTCGTTGGAATTATTCTCATCACTATTTTAAAAATTGAAATTATTTCTTCAGAAAACCCCAAAATCACTTTTTCTATTTTTTATTTTTTACTTTTGTTAGAAGCTGAACCAGACAATGTGTTAGGATCGACATGGTTTTTAAAATTATATCTTAAATTTAGCGTTAGCTTTTGGCTTTAACTGGTCCGCGACTTTCGCATAAAGTATGATTATCGCGAATGAGTTTCCATATTGAATAGTTAGAAAATCTAGTTGCATCATAAGTCATATGATGTTTCGGTAACTTTTTAAGGTCAGTTATTTGACGAAATGCCGTATATAAGTCATGAGTTAGGATTTGCGTTAAGCAACTCCTGAGATTAGACAAAATCATAGGAAGTAAACAAGGACATGGGGATTTTTAAAATGGTAAAGAAGAGTATTACTTTCACGTAAAGCCTTTTGAACTTTTAGTTGTGCTCAAATTATTGACCAATTTTCCCATGCTATGGACTGGTGATCACTTCCTTTATAATAATCATTTGTATGAATAAACAGACCGATCATCACTCAAAGATATTTTTTGGTCAAAGTAACATTTCATTTATTTCCGCGAAACTATAAGAGTAAAACAACGCAGTCCAATTACAAACCAAGACAAATTCCAAACAACTTCAAAACAAAACAAGCTCTAGATAATACTTCAATTCATCCTTATTAGGCACATCATTAGGAGTTTGAACCCTAGCTAGCCACACAAAGACAATGTAGATTGTAGCCCTTTTATTTGCAAACACATAGCTCTATTCTTATTCCATTTCAACAACATATGATTTTGATCATCAATTCACATGTTAATATTGCGAGGGTATGATGGAGCGAACTATGCCCCATTCAGGTGATGCGGACATCTCGACTTGCGGAGCTTCTTCTCGTCGGAGAGTAGCTTTGCAAACCTGGAAGAATGCAAACCAAAATTAATCAGCCTTTCCAATGCGGGCTAATTTTAAAAAAAAAGCACCAACTTTATCTTCATTGACAATTTTGGCTTGCCCTAAACTTTTTTTTTGTCTCAATAAAAAGCATAAATTTTTGCTCGAGTCCCAAATCTGGCCCCTATCATGTAAAATTTTCAAATTGTTAGGGCCAGATTTGGGATTGAAGTGAAACTTGATGATTTTTTATGAAACAAAAAAAAATTCAGGTCAGAATTGTCATTCAAGGTAAAGTGGGTGCATTTCTTTTTGAAATTAGGCCTTCCAATGCTAACCAAAGAAAATAAACCTACAATGGCTATAACTATCCTAAGGATAATATCGTTCCACACGCGTTCAATACTGACACGCAAAATTTTTACCTCTTGAGGGCTTCCTTGTTGGTGCCGGCATTTTCGATGGGTTCGTGTTGGCCGGTCCCGACATTAGCTCTCGAGACCGGCTTCTTCAACAAGCGCTTACCAACTTTCACCAGGGCTTCCAAGTTCTCCTTCGTGGATGTGTCCACGGAAGATAAACTCCCCTTCAGGGTGTCATCCTATAGCAATCCATTCAACTCTAGTTGCATGAGTTGGTACCAAGTGTAGATCAATAGAAATCACAGCAGCAAGAATTCACAATGACGGCCAAGTTAGCGAAGATCTTACGTTGATGCGGAGGTAATTTTCCTCGGAATTGTAGGCCCTGAAGACCACGCAGTTGTGCACTACAAAAAAAGTTGGTTTTAGCAACGAATTTTGCCACAAAAAATTTGGCAAAATTCATCGCTAAACAAATTTGCGACAAAATTAGCGACGGAAAAAAATTTGTCGCTGATAGGCCGTCGCAAAATTTTAAGACGGAAAATTTCAAATTTCGTTGCTAAATTGCGACGAAAAAAAATTCGTCGCTAATTATTCGTGGCAAAATTCGTGGCTAATTTGCCACGAACTATATTCATCGCAAAATTTGTCGCTAATTATTCGTGGCAAAATTCGTCGCTAATTTGTCACAAACTTTACTTGTCACAAAATTCGTCGCTAATTAATCGTGGCAAAATTCGTCGCCAAATATTCGTGCCAAAATTCGTCGCTATTTTTTTCGAAATTTTTTTTTGTTGGTCGCGAAATTGCGACGAAATCTTTTCGTGGCAAAATTTATCGCTAATTTGCCACGAACACATTTCGTGGCAAAATTCGTGGCTAATTTGCCACCAAAATTTTTTTTGGTCAGTATTTTGCGACGAACTTATTCGTGGCAAAATTCGTTGCTAATCTGCCACGAACACATTTCGTGGCTAATTTGCTAACAAATTTTTTTTTGGTCAGTATTTTGCGACGAACTTATTCGTGGCAAAATTCATCACTAATTTGCCACGAAAAATTTTGACTTTTGCCACGAACATTGTTCCGAAACGAATTTGGCGACAAATTTTAATGAATAATTTAGCGACGAATGTTGTTTAGGGACGATTTCGATTTGAAATCTAATTAACAGCAATTATAGAATTTATATTTAACATTGATAGAATCACAGTCAAGACAACAACAAACACAAAAAAGAAAGAAATGGAACAAAGCACTAAATTTGTATGAAAAATCCTTGAGAGGATCCAACAAATTCAACTGCTTCAAATCCAGTTCACTCTCTTGTTGCAAACTGTTGATCTTGCCAAGAAGTTCTTTCACGTAGTCTATAGTGTCTCCAAGAATCGAAGTCCTGTCCATCTGCAGAGCAAACAGAAGACATCACAATATCAAACTCCTAACCCCTCTTAATTTTTTCACATCTATTCAACAGCAGAAAGAGGGGTGTTCAAAAAAGAATATATTCGGCTATGCTCACACAAAAGACCAATTCACGAAAGAGAAAGCGAGGTAATGGACGGTGTTCTCCTCCGCAGAAAGGACCTTCCAAGTGATCGCTTGTTCATACGAGACATGTCGCCCCATCGTCGACATGCAAATTCCAGAGGGCATGTATGCAAACCGAACGTTTATTGTCATGTAGCATAAAGAATGATAGAAGTACCACTTGCATTAACTTAGTGAACCCAGGGCACAATTCTTTGCGAACTGACTCGTCAAATATCTAATCCAAAGTGATATCTTGTAAAGCCACCAAAGTGGTCTCTAATATGTCAAGTCCTGCCTAGTTTGCAAAGATGAAAACTGGAATAGACTGCCAAACCAAAAGGAAGACTGTCATTAATCCTTCCTAATTACATACATGGCAAAATTCACTTTTAACAATTTCGAGTAATACAAATAACAGATAACAACACAATATGGCATCATGATGATTCCAAAGATTCTTCAAAGAATCATTGCCAAGTAATTCATATCCCAGCAACTCTGTTCCTAAAATGCACGTGCGTGCGTGAACAAGGGAGAGAGATAGCCGAGCATCAGCTTGATTAGTCCATTGTCTCTCGTGTACATGTGCAAAAACTCAACATGAACAGTTGTTGAACTTTTAACAGAATCGATACATGTGCATTGAACAAATGCAACAACTAATAACTTGTCCTATAAATAGATAATGCTGAAGCAAGCTTACCCTTGAGTTTGGAAATTTTAACTAGCAAGGACCGACAAAATGATCATCATCATCAGCAATCTCATTATCATTGTATCGCTCATCATTCTGCCCATCACCTACTGGATTAGTGGGAGGTACAGGAGGAACGTCATCGTGATCGAGGTTGAGGTGTCGCAAGATCAATTGCAAATGTTGTTTCATTCCTCTTAGTTCTTCGTCCTTCTGTACAAGTAAATGTTTCAGTTGGCTCAATTCTTGGGTTATTTGCTCCTCGTGTTGTGTCCTCCTTAAAAAAGCCGCATTGGAGAATGAAGTTACAGCAGCCTACGTTGTATATATCCTTGACAAGGATCCCATCCCAGATATTTGATCTCTTCTCATTCCACCCGATGCCTCCACCCATAATGCCATACTGTCAACCGATGGCTCGGACGCAGCAACACCATCACCACCACTAGCAGCAGTGCTCATTACAAGTTCATCATATTTTTCTTGCATTAACAATATAGATGAAAATAAAATAACTTCATATATATAACTACCATAAATATTAAAAGCATTCATGATTTTCATTCTAGTTTCCAAAAAGTCCAAAGTATAATCTTACATACCTTAATAGCTTTTGCTCAATCGCCAGTCCATGTCTTATCTTTTTTCTGAAATGTGCATTCAAATGTAGCTATAAATGTCGGTTCCATCCCCAATTCATCTGCCTACAAAATATAAACATAAATGAGTAATCATTGAATTAAATTAACTTACAATATGTTTAACAGACTTACCATTCTTTTTCTATGCTCCTCGATGTTGATAGAGCCCCCAGCATATGTGGCAGACCCTTCACTAGAACTAGAAGCTCGATTCTTCTTATTTTGTTCACTGATTTGCTTATGCTTTTCGGTGTCCCAAGTTCTTTTAATTTCCGTCCAATTGTCAGAAGTAATAAAATCCGGCTTTTCTTGACTTCTCTTTGCTCTATTCATCACATTTCGCATGTGATCACCGGCTTTCTTCTTAAAAATTCTTCTAACTTCTTTCTCTTCCGCTTCATCCCACTTGAACTTCCGCTGCAATCAATAGAAAAACAACTGTACACTTATTATGAGGGTCACATATCCATTACCATGCACCATCAGTATGCTACACCGAACTTAGTTTGTGAGAAAATAGAAGGACAAAACTTATCTTGAACTCATTCCACCATAAGTCCTTTACTTCTTTTAGAGCGGTGGTCCAACTAGTATACTGCCCCATCCAACAGTTATTGATTATTTTATTAAGTTTCCTCACAACATACGTAGCATCCGTGAATCTGCAAATAGGTTATAACGATATGGACAATGAAGCATACGGACAATTCAGTTAACATCCATAATAATTTACATATACTTAAAAAAATGAAGTACTTACGAATCTCCACATGAGCATATCATGAATCGACTATCTTCTTCATCATTCGAGTGTTGCACTGAAGAAGAAGGTGGAACCGAAGGCGATGGAACTAAAGGAGATGGAACTGGAGTAGATTCAGTTCGCATTTGAGGGTCGGAGGAAGGGCCAGTGTGTCCATCAGCATGTACTAGTTGAGGGTTAGATGAAAGGGCAAGGGAAGAGGAAAGGGACGGGGACGAGGACGAGGAAAGGGAAGGGTCTGGTCTTCTTTGTGAAGCTACACCACGCATGTGACCTCCACGTTTATACTAACAAGTTGGAATGTTAGACAAATATCTTAAAAAATATGAACATGTATTAGGGACACATAATGACGTACGTCGTGAAGCTTACCATTTTGTTTTCGAGAGCAAGAGATAAACTTGAGAAAATGAAACAAACTTACTATCACCTCTGATAAAAAGCAAGTCGTCCGGAAATGTCTACGAGCTTCGTTAGCTTTTTTTTGCCACAAATAATAGTTGTTACCTCTGTCTACAAAAACATTCAACAAGCACTTAAATATTAGCTCTTTTCTGGTGATTATTATCTAAGAAGAAAACATGAGTGAAGCAACATGAAGTTGAGAAACAGAGTCAACTAATAGTCCACACTTTCATTTGCCCGGGCCTTGGATCATATTCATATTTCATGGAGAAACAAAGTCAACTAATAGTCCACACTTTCATGGTTGTCAATGCATGCCTAGAGGAATTACTTACGATAGTCCACACTTTCATATTCTTCGCACCACTACATGCTAGTTTTTCCACTGTCAGCCAAATAAAAGTTATTAACAACTGCTATCAGCTGACTAATGGCATATCGCTATACCAAACAAGAAAATGAAAACATACAAGTTGAAATTGCTCTAGGACCGATGTTGAAATATTTCCATGTTGAAATATATTGCAGTCAATATACTTCATTGCTCGAACTCGAGGGACTACGTGCATTATTATTTCAAATAATTCAATTTAGCAATGAATTAAATTTTCACTTTATATAGCAATGAAGGGATGGCACCTTGTAACTGCATTATTGTCATTGGAGGTGCTTTGCACCACATATCCTGATGCAATTTCAACAGGTCTATATCATTAGATTCATTCCATAGGTGTTTCTGTTTAGATTTATTGAATTGAGGGTGTAGGATCATTGTTCTAGCTGCCTAATTATTTAAGCCCAAGAAAGTAGGATGAAGAACTATATACTTTTCCACTGGTTTCAATTTCAAAGCAAAAGCAGTAGCACATTCTCTTTTCTGACATAGAGATGTTTACATGGCCAGCAATGGCATTCCCTTTCTTCAAATAGTGTATGCATTATCTTACCACATTTCATCTTGAGGGATATTTGCTAGAGGTTCGATTTTTTTCTGAGATTTCTTTTCTAGAGAATAATGGTTTCAGGTATCATGAGTGGACATAATTGGAAACTCTTTCCAGCTTGTAAGAGAGGGAATAGAGTTTCTCTTGGATATCCATTTGGATGCAATCAATATTTCCTCATAGGCATTTTATTTAGTGAACAATAATGGATGAATAAATTCATTGCAATATTTCAACAGGAGTTGAGGCTTTAAAATGGGACCAGTAAAGTTACAAGAGAGGTTCCAGGAGAAGCAAGAGCACAAGATCGAGAAATATGACCGACTGGTCTCTCCTGGCCGGCTAACCAGCAACCATTTAACAGGAAAGGAATTACCAAAAGTTGCTCATATGTATAGTCAACATTCGTTTAGAATCCTAGATCTTCCAATGTAAAACCAAAGCCGACAAAAATTCTTTGAGCTTTCCTCCTATTAATTGGCTCTGCTCATCAGTACTAAAGACGTTGAGGTTGAAAATGTTCCAGAGAAATCAGCAGGAGTTGAGGCTTTAAAATGGGACCCAGTAAAGTTACAAGAGAGGTTCCAGGAGCAGCAAGAGCACAAGATTGAGAAATATGGCCAGCTGGTCTCTCCTGCCCGGCTAACCAGCAACCATTTAACAGGAAAGGAATTACCAAAAGTTGCTCAAATGTATAGTGAACATTCGTTTAGAAGCCTAGATCATCCAATGTAAAACCAAAACCGACCAAAATTCTTTGAGCTTCCGTGGAGATCGGCCTGAGGAAATATTGGGGGTAATCCGTGGAGTAAACATATATGAAATTTTCATGACAAAGTGAAAAATAAAATATTTTTCCACAGAAAAATTAAAAAAAAATAAAACCCGCTGATCAAACGACTACGAAACGGCAAAAAAAACTCGAACCGAACCGAAATTACTGTTCAAACAGAATAGTTTTTTGCTCAAAAACTCATCTAAACGACTCTGAAACGCCATAAAACTATCAAATGACTCCGAAATGCCAAAAAAAACTCAAACCGAACCGAAATTACTGTTCAAACAGAATAGTTTTTTGCTCAAAAACTCATCTAAACGACTCCGAAATGCCAAAAAATGATCAAACAACTCTGAAACGCCAAAAAAAACTCGAATCGTACAGAAATTACTGATCAAACAGAATAGTTTTTTAATCAAAAACTCATCTAAACGACTCTGAAATGCCAAAAAATGACATGCATCACAGCCAAAGGCAGTGATTTTTTATCAGCGGGCCGTTTCAACTTTACCAACCAAATTTCAGCCCGTTTCGACCAAATTTCAACCCAAATCCGACCAAATTTCAGCCCGTTTCCATTCGGCGAACAGAACAAATTCGCCGGAAATTCCAGTTACGGCTAACAGAACAATTCCAGTTACCACGAACAGAACAATACATTCAACCCGAGATAAGTCGAATCAAATTCGCCGCAAATTGAAAGAGGCAGAAGCAGCAGCAGCAAAATCCACATAATTCTTTAGCAAAACAGAAGAAGCAGCAAACGTCCACATAATTCGAAATCGAACAATCTCCGCCCTACCCATCTAAAAACAGCGCTCGCCCAAGACCCAAAGTGCAAAAAATTTAGAGAACGTACCTCGTGGTTGGGTCCTCGCGGTGGATCGAGCGGTTGTGCTGGGTCCTCGCGCCGGGTCCTCTGTTGTCCGCCGAATGGTTTCGCCGAAGGGTTCCGCCGAAGGGTTCCTCTGTTGTCCAAGAAAATATCACGCTGAAGGTCACCGACTCGTCAGAATCCGTCACCAATCGATTGATCGAGAGAGAGACAGAGAAGAGAAAACCCTAAATTTTTTGATTGAGAGAGACAGAGACAGAGAAGAGAAAAGAGAAGAGAGACAGAGAAGAGAAAACCCGCAAATGAAGACGACGCCGTTTTGCTAATTTCCGCCGAAATTAGCCACGAATTTTATTCCATGGCTAATTTGCGACGATATTAGCCATGAATTTCGTTCCGTGGCTAATTTGCGACAATATTAGCCATGAATTTTAAATTTGTCGCGGCAAATTAGAATCAAACTATGAAATTGTCGCGGCAAACCCTTATTTTTTTCCGTGGCAAATTAGCCACGGATTTAGCCACGGAAAACAAATCTACCCGCACAAATTTTTTTTCCGTGGCAAATTAGCCATGGATTTAGCCACGGAAAACAAATCTCCCCGCACAATTTTTTTTTCATGGCTAAATCCTTGGCTAATTTGCCACGGATTTTGCCACGGAAATGAAGTCTCCCCGCACACCTGACTAACTTTTTTCCGTGGCAAATTTGCCACGGATTTGGCCACGGAAAACAAATCTCCCCGCACAATTTTTTTTCCATGGCTAATTTGCCACGGTGCCACGGATTTAGCCATGGAAATAAAGTCTCCTTGCACACCCGACTAATTTTTTTCCGTGGCTAAATTTGTGGCAAATTAGCCACGGATTTGACCACAGAAAAAAAATTTGTGGGGAGATTTGTTTTCCGTGGCCAAATCCGTGGCTAATTTGCCACGGAAAAAAAAATTTGTGGGGAGATTTGTTTTCCGTGGCTAAATCCGTTGCTAATTTGCCACGGAAAAAAATTAGTCGGGTATGCGGGGAGACTTCATTTTCGTGGCAAAATCCGTGGCAAATCAGCCACGGAAAAAAAATTGTGTGGGGAGATTTGTTTTTCATGGCTAAATCCGTGGCTAATTTACCATGGATTTTACCACGGAAAAAAATTAGTCAGGTGTGCGGGGGAGACTTCATTTCCGTGGCCAAATCCGTGGCAAATTTGCCATAGAAAAAATTTTTTGCTGGGAGATTTGTTTTACGTGGCAAAATCCGTGGCAAATTTTCCACGGAAAAAATTTTTTGCGTGAATTTTTGTTTTCCGTGGCAAATTAGCCACAGAATTAGCCACGAAAATGAAGTCTCCCCGCATACCCAACTAAATTTTTTCCGTGGCAAAATCCGTGGCAAATTAGCCACGGAAAACAAATCTCCCCGCAAAATTTTTTTTCCATGGTAAAATCTCCCCGCAAAGTTTTTTTTCCGTGGCAAATTAGCCACGGAAATAAAGTCTCCCCGCATACCCGACTAAATTTTTTCCGTGGCAAAATCCATGGCAAACTAGCCACGGATTTTGCCATGGAAAAAAACTCTGCCCACAAAGTTTTTTTTCCGTGGCAAATTTGCCACTGATTTTGCCACGGAAAACAAATCTCCCCGCATACCCAACTAAATTTTTTCCGTGGCAAATTTGCCACGGAAAACAAATCTCCCCGCAAAGTTTTTTTTCCGTGGCAAATTAGCCACGGATTTAGCCACGGAAATGAAGTCTCCCCGCATACCCGACTAAATTTTTTCCGTGGCAAAATCCATGGCCAATTAGCCACGGATTTAGCCACGGAAAACAAATATTCCCGCAAAAAAAAATTCCGTGGTAAATTTGCCACAGATTTTGCTACAGAAATGAAGTCTCCCCCGCATACCCGACTAATCTTTTTCCGTGGCTAAAACCGTGGCAAATTAGCCACGGATTTAGCCATGGAAATGAAGGGCGCGAATGGTAACCATTCTGCTCTAGAAATCAAATTCTTGCTAGAAATTGATTTCCGGAATTCTTGC